TTGATGGTACTATTGACAAATATAAGGTAAGATTAGTTGTCAAATGATTTAGATAACGAGAAGGTTTTGATTATTTTGATACATACTTGCCGGTAGTGAGGATTACATCTACTCGAGTATTAATAGTGTTAGTCACCGTGTATGGCCTTGAAATCCATCAAATGGACGTAAAGACAACCTTCTTAAATGAAAATTTGGAGGAAGAAATTTATATGGAACAACCTGAAGGGTTCGTGGTTCCTGAAAAAGAAAAGAAGGTGTGTCGACTTATTAAGTCACTTTACGGACTAAAACAAGCACCCAAACAATGATATGCGAGATTTGACCAAATAATATTGTCAAATGGTTTCAAAATTAAAGAGTGTACACAAATATGTTTACGTTAAGAATACTTCAAATTATATAGTCATTATTTGATTATATGTGGATGATATATTAATGAAATATTTAAAATGTGGGGGCTTTAGCTTATGCATGACAAAAGCCAAGTTAGACGTAATGTCTAAATGATATAATTTTTGAACCCCTCAATCCTTAGTGTATATTGATATTATAGTCGGTGAATTCATTACTTGTTCAGCCTTAGTGATGACCAGTGATGAAACTACAAATTCGAAAATTGTTTACGTGCCTTTCCATAAATGATTTGTTCTTTCTTGAACATTTATATTGTTTAGCTCTTTTATGAAAGGGTGTCACCTGAAAGGTTGTGACTTTTTAAGAAAAGTGTGTTTGTATGTTTTGTATAAACATGATCGTTCATGAACGAATGTATTAATACGTTGGTCTATAATGAGGCGAACCAACCAATGAACACGACCAAAATCCATTGCAAGTTGAATTTATTTCATGAATGAAGGTGGTATAATTTGCATATCATATAGACGTATGAATAAATATCATACAAATACTTGAAAATGGCAAAGTGATTGCGAAATGTGTTATATATTAAAAGGTTGTGGCCGCAACTGATGCCAATCATTCCTGTTGTTGTTATAATATATTATTGCTACATTAAGTGTAGTAAATAATCTGATATGCAATATAATGTCGAGACGTATTAATCTACGACGTAAGGAAGCTCGCATTGAACTGTCAAGACAATAAAATGAGTTTTGGAATATTTAAAATATATCCATGACTATGCATTGCACTATAATAACTATTCTGCGGGTATTGAAGGGTATAGTGATGCAAATTGAATCACCGGATAAACCTAAACTAAATTCACAAGTGGATATATTTTTACAATCAGTGAAGGAGCGGTGTCTTGGAAGTTGTCCAAACAAACATGCATTGCCACTCTATAATGAAGGCTGAGTTTATAGCCTTAGACAAGGCCGGTGAAGAAACTGGATGGCTCCGAAATTTCTTGAAGAAATTCCATCTTAGCCCAAAATATTGGCACCTATATGCACACATTGCAATGGTCAAGCGTCAATAGGAAGGTCTGGGAGCATTATGTATAATGAAACATCTTGTCATATACGATGAAGACATAAAACCGTTAGGCAACTACTCTCTAGGGGAATTATCATAATTGACTATGTAAAGTCAAGCGATAATGTGTCGGATCCACTTACAAAGGCACTAGAATGGTAGTTGAAAGATCATCGAGGGGAATGGGACTATGGCTGATGACAAGTCAATGTGGCGGTAACTCTACCTAGAAGACTAGAGATCCCAAGATCTAGGTTCAAGGAGATCAAACAAAGTCATTTGTGACAGTTCAACATTGTCAAATAAAATTTTGGTCCATTCTCGTGATGAGACAATGTTTAGTACCAAGGATAAAGCGTTAAGGGTTTTTAATGGTTTCTAAATTTGATACGGAGTATATCAAATCGTGTATCTACGGATAACACATTTAGGAATCACCTATGTAAGTGTGAAGTGTTAGCCACTTCAAGGAGAATTCTGTAAGGCCAATTCTCTATGCACTTATAAAACCAGGCAGTGTTCATGGCTAAAACGAACACAACAATGAGAACCAAAGACGGTTAAGGGTTGATTGTGTGACTTATAGTTGTCTAGGTATACACCAAAGCTCGACAGTTCAAGATATCAAATCTACCGATTGACCGAGTATATCCGACATATGTTCACTACGGAAAGTTCAAAGGGAAACCTACTTATCCAGATACGATTAATCCTTACTTGCGAATCACACAAGTTTTTTGCATATTTTTTAAACATATTGCTATTCCCCCATTCATGTGGGGGATTGTTAGGTTTCGTGAATGGGTGTGAATGGGAAATGGAATAGGCACCTTTTGAATTGCACCTTTTTTTTCTTTTTTTCATTGTCTATAAATTTTAGAGGCTTAGCCTCATTTTCATACATGGAAAAGAATCTGAAATTCTCCCATTTTATTTGCATTATTTTTCCAAAATAAAATATAAGTGTCATGTGTGATTTGCTCCGCCTTATTGCGTTCGCTGAAACACTGGGGTTTGAGGTACCTCTACACGAGTGTGGATAATCCGTTATATCTTGGGAGGAAATAATCTTAAATCTCGAGTACTAGGAGGGGATTAAGGTCCCGTTTGTATTGGCTTAAAAAGTGACTTTTAAGTTAAGTGCGTAAAAGCACTTTATAAGTGATAGAACTTGTTTTTATAAATAAGCAGTTACGTGTTTGGATAAAAGTGCTAAAACTTAAAACAAGCTGATGAAGTGTTTGGTAAACAAGTGCTGGTAAACATTTTTTCTTGTTAAAATGACTGAAATATCCTTAAAGTTGTTAACATTATAAAGAAGATGATGACCATAATATTATATTTTCCGTTCGTAGCTTCAAATTCAGGGGTAGCACGTAAATTCATTGAATGATTTGATTTTAGAATATAGTTACACCAATTAAAAAAAAGGAAGGATTCAAAGACCAAAAAAATTAAATGTTATGGAACCAAAAAAAGAAGCCAAAAGAATAATATTTATAAAATATTGAAATGTATCAAACATTATTTAAAAAACTATTGTTTGCTTCACGTTAAGAACTTCAAGAAATTNTTACCAGTTCTTCCCGATCTTTTTTTGGATCATAATATAAAATACTACCGGTAACAATGTTAATTTCCGGTTGAAATTGATTTGACCCGGTACTAAGGTCAGCCTGACTAGGTGCACTTGTCCCCTCAGCCAAAGCTTTCATACGAAAATATCTAGCTTTATCTTGAGGGTGTAGCAATATGTGTCTAGTCAAACTTCCCATCCCCCCCTCCCCCGACTTCCAACATATTGAAAAACTAACTCTTTGCCACAAGTTTTACACTTAGCCCTATTGTTTTCTCTTAGTTGAG